TCTCTCTCTCTCTCTCTCTCTCTCTCTCTCTCTCTCTTCCCTCCTATATGTATGTCACTGTCATTGTTGAAATAAATAATGCTAGAGAGAGAGAGAAAATAAAAAGATACCATAAAACATGCATAAAACATGGCTGCTTAACCTTGCCCAAAGACACTGATTTGCTGTAATCCATTTGTGTCAGCACATCAAATTGCCATTTAATCATCAATCATCTATTAATGTTTTCTTGCAAGAAAACAGCACATCTGATGCCATTATCTGTTGGCTTGTCCAAACTTTCTTCTGATCACTGAATCCACTGTAATCAAACATACCTTGAATCTGTTCATTTACATAGAGAATACCTAAGAGAAGACTTTGGAATTATTCTAAATCTTCAAATCATGATCATTGTATATTCTGCTTTGTTTAAATTAATTAGGGTTGTCAGGTGCCTAATTGTCATGTCTCATTGACTACAATGATTACTGTTTGATCTCACTGTTTTGATTTAAATAAGTGCTTAACAATGTACTTTGATCACATAAATTATGTAGTTCTAATTCCCTTTTAATACTCCCAAATATTCCTTTGTGAACTTGCACCAACCATGTCTAGTTTTAGATCAGTGACATATGTCTGTCATGTCCACATGGTCTTCTCCACTGCACAAAGTTGACTGTTCACAAACCCTAGGTTCATAAAAGCATAGCTAAAATAGCACATGAGATATGGTTTGCATCTGTTGATGACTTGTTTTAGACTAATCACCTCAAGTAGATAATTGAAATGTTCTTTCTGAAACCACATAAGGCAAAGAAATATTGAGATAGATGTGCATGAGTAGTCCACCAAGATCTGCTTTGAATCCAATGACATGGGGTTGCAGGAACTTCTCTTAATATCCTGCTGATTAAGGCCAAGATAAACACTTCTTTTATCCTTCTCTTCATGCTTATGAATAACCCATAATTAATGATCTTAAAGCCAATAATAACTCAGATTGCAGTCCATATCTATACAAGACAAATGCAAATGCATGTCTCAGACAAGGTGGTAATGAGATATGGTTGCTGTTGAACACATTTGGGATTAGTAGTAGGATCAAACTCTCAGGGTTGCACTTAGACCAAATCCAATTGTCATTGTGGTTCCAAATCATCACATCTAGAAGCTATAATGACGTAAGATTACGATAAACTAGTTCCAATTGTTATTGTGATTCGAGTCAAAAAATAATAATCTCTTTAAATAGTTAAAGGTAAGGTTACGTACGTTGTTGATCCTCCCTAGACCCTATATTAACCGGAGTTCTTGGTATGTCCTTTCTAGTTTCAATTAGTGTGGTCTCATTTATAATATGATGATCTCATTAGATCCTACAAGTTGAGATAATAGAATCAGATTCCTTTGATGTGTTGAAAAGTTGATCAAAGAAATAGAGCAAGGAAGAAAAGAATATATAAGAAGGATAAAGGAACTTGATTGTCACCTCACAGCTAATTGCAAAGCTAAGACATCAGACCTACCCTATATCTAGTATTAGAATTGAAGGGGAACATGAAACTTCTTCCTCATTATTTCAGAGAGAGAGAGAGAGAGAGAGAGAACAAATGCTTTCAGACACATGGAATATAATAAAGATGGCAAATAAGCCTCTTATTGTTCAAACTTTCACATCCACATACAACAAAGCCTGGCTGCAAAAGCAAGGAATCTTACAACACCCTCAGTCATTTGTTGGCTTTGCATGAAATGATGATGATTTTAGGCTTCCTGGTCTTCCTTCCTTCACAGCTCACAGCTACCTCTCTTGGATGGAAGTAGATGTGACAAATGCTGCCTTTAGGAGGGGTCATTGCTGTGGGACTCTTGTGGAGAAAGAGAACACACCCACATGCCTGCCCTATTCCATGGAATGCATAAATGCATCACTGAAAAGGATGAGATTTATGCAGCCTCAGCTAGGTAGGACATACACAGAAAAAGAAGGAAAAAGAACAGAGATTATGAGCAACATATATATGTGTTCTTTCTTGTTTAAGATGGAGATTATTCCTCCAATTCAAGTAATGAGAATATAATCTAGCTTGTCAGTCAATCCTAATGGCTGGCTGGTGGTTGAGCAGTCAAATGCTGTATATACCACATTGCTGATAGAAAATGAAGAACAATTCTATTATTTTTCTTTCTACCATCCTAAGTGGACCTCAAGATAATCTTTGTTTACCTTTGTATTTAATGTAAATCTTGACATAGCAACTGTTTGTGCATGATGGCCAGGTTTGTTTATCTAATAGAAGGTCCATAAAATGATTGACATGCACATTGACCTGTGCATGAAGTTGTATATTACAGCAACAATATAAACATCAACTGTAGATTGGTGGACTAATTCTTAGTGTTCATTAATAGATATTGATGCCAACATGCAGCATTTTCCTATCAACATTTTGTTAATATCTTAATACTCATCTTTTTTCTAGTTGAAACAAAATGGAAAATATTATTAGGGCTGGGTGCAGAAAATTAATTCTAGATCTAGATTTCAACTAATGCAACTTATATATTTTTTTCTTTAGGAAATAGAAGGCAATTTTTAACTAATTCCTTTGGAAAAAAAAATCTAAATAATCTTTTGATCCACAAAGTGACAAAGTAGGACCAAACTATGGCCCACATAAGATTGACAATGGGTGCCATGGTGGGGAAGGAACCCCATTAAGACAACATACTTTTGTTGCTTTAGGTAAGGTTCACATGGACTTGCCCAAGTAACTAAACAAGGATAGGTAGATACTTGTATATATATATATATATATATATATATATATATATATATATATAGAGAGAGAGAGAGAGAGAGAGAGAGAGAGAGAGAGAGAGAGTAAGAATGGCACCCAAATTACTTGCCTAAGTATGTAAATCCAACTTTAGCCCTACTTTTCTGTTCAAACATGTCTCAAGCCTGATTAGAAGGTGTTTGGACTTCGTTTCATTTGGAAATCTTACTATCTGATTCCATGCAACTAATTGATCATTTTCTATGCATATAATTAAAAAAAGTATATATATATATATATATATATATATATATATATATATGTTCATTCTATTTATTTTAATTTAATTTGAAATATCTATGGAGTTAAACCATTTTGGAAAATCAAAAGACTATTTAGAGGTGAACTTTTTTTCTATTCAATTTATATCTTATATATCAATCAATAAAATCATCATTAACTTACAAATTAGGCTTATATAATGTTAATTTGATTGATAATCATCTCAAGACATTAATGTATTATATTGTATTAATTTATTCATAGTATGTGATGCATGGGTGGCATAAAATACCCAGACTTAATTTAATGCAGCTGACATATATTACATGCATGATTTTACGTATCTATTAAAATAATTGACATCACGACATGCATCGTCTATTGCCATGTCTGAGGAATTAAAAGATAGAACTTAGAATAAGATAGAGAGAAGAATTTTAGTTAAAATATTGTAAAATTAATATGAATAAATAACATCAACCCAATTAGATTAATTATTACTAATTCAAACTTCATATTCAAGATAAATAAGTCGAGTATACAATCAGACTCATTTGAACCCGTTCTTACCATCATAGTCAAATCTTTACCGATTAAGCTAACATATATTAATCGGATCAATCATAAGATTATTTGGTTCAATAACAATAATAATTTTTTTGTTGTTCAATGCAAAAATAATATGTTTAATTAAATAAAAATATTTATCTTTGTTTTAAAAGTAAGAAATGTCAAGTTCTCCAACTATTAATAGCCTAAAATATTCAGGATGACGAATCGAACTCTCAGGTTAATGTAAATTAATCATGTACAGATATCAAATATTGGATTAAAAATATAGACTTAATTCTTAACTAAAATTTTTCCCAATCTTATATCTCTAATTCTGACTTGTTAAATAAATATTAAATGAAATCGTGGATTTATTTTTGATCTGTGAACTTTCGGTAGTCTCCACGTGTCTTCTCCAAGACCTGATCCACTTCCATTTTGATCCGACGGTCTATATTAACTTCTGGTTATGATCTCCACGTGGCAGAATCGCCTTTGCGATTGGGTAATTTGTCGCATCAGTTAAGCCTCCAATCGTATATATATATAAAGGGAGAGAGAGAGAGAGAACGGAACCGCAGCAGAATACGACTCTCCTCCCGTTCTTTCCTCTCCCGCTCTTTCATGTGTCATCAATGTGAACGAGTTAGGGTTCGCATGGGTTCCTCGATCGAGGAGGAGGAGGAGGACGACGACGACGCGGAAGAAGCTAATCGATGATCAAACGGTCCTTCTGATCCCTTTATCTATCGTTTTCTTTCTCCTGGTTTCTTGGGTTCGGATTTGCCTGATTCTGCTTCATGGTTAATCCTGCAATATCTTGCTTCGATCATAATGAGTGTTTCGACTCTTTGATCGTTATCTTGTGGCGCTTTACGGTTCGTTATAATCACACTGGGGAGTTCGCACTGGCTCCATGTTCCTGTAATGCTCGCTGTTGGTCCGGGTTACCTCTGTATTGCTATGCTTTTCTTGTTGAATTATTAGTTTGATCACATTGGCGAGCTAGGTCATGAAATACTTGTTTCGGCAATTGGTCGAACTGATAGGAACGGTACATAGATATGTATTGTTTGATATCACTGATGATAATAATGATTGATATACCAATCATTTTATCCTTGCTAGATCTGACCACCATTTTAAGTTTATGGTGTGACTCCATGTTTGCTTCTTGATTCTAATTAGGTACCATAGATGATGTGAGTTACTGCGGTTGTGATATGCATATCATTGATGATGTATGTTACCGGATGCAACTGCCTTGCCCTGCCTAATATGTCCATTAGTTAGAGAAAAACCTTTTAGTTTGATACAATGTTCGCTTGCCATGAAATTGGCGACCCCAGAATGATCTATAGAAGTTTATTAACAACAGAGGTTGTATCCATTCTGATATTTGTTTAGCTCAAATAAAGAAAAGATACTTAGATAGATAGTTAAATTTCATGGTAGCAATCAAATATCTTCAAAATCAGTTGTCATTGACAATAGACAACAAGACGAGTCGTGATCACCCAAAATTCATTCAAAATTTTAGAATGGCATGCAAGAATGGTAGGCATTAGCTATGACAATTGTAAATGTAAATTGGCAATTTGGGGATGACATGCATCCTTCACTATGTTTCATGATGCTGTGTAATCTACACATCACCATCCCAAAATTCAGCATGAGACTTGTACAAACCATTGGGTGATATAAATGGGTGAACCAGAATGAGCCTTTTCTGTGGTACTAGGCTCAATCTTTCCTTGTCCTCCTCTTTCAGATGCCAGTCAAATATCTCCATGTTCTCTTTGAGCCTTTCCTTGTTAAAACTTTTCACTACAATGCTCCCACCTTGCTCGACGCCCCACCTTAAGCATACCTGTCCATATATCAAACAATTTGTTAGATTCTACTGACACACTTGACTTGAAACATACCTGAAAAATTTTGAATTGATCAAAGAATATGATGTGTATAGCAATAAGGATTCTGTATAAGTATCTCAATTAAAATTTTGTGCATATGTGATGCCAAGATATAGTCAAGCAAAGCTTTTTACTTGCACAGAGAATGAAGTAATGTAGTTACCTGGGCTCTGCTTTTTCCCGTAGACTGAGCAATTCTTTTGACCTCTTCACATTCCAACACATCATTACTCCCCCAAAAGACTCCAATTGCACCTAGCAAAGAATATGCAGTTACATGGATTCCCTTCTCTGAGCAGAAGTCTCGTAGTTTTCTTTGCTGCCAAATAGGATTTATTTCCACCTATCACAAGAATGGCAAATATTAGCACTACACCATGGCCACATACTAACTATTTGAGATCCTTGCAGGAAAAGAGTGTGACCGTTGTCAAGGCATTGTCTGAGGAAAGTCAAAGGTACACATTCTTGCTCCTACGAGCAGAATTATTGTTTCTGGGAGCACTACTTTTAACATTTGAGGATGCTGAACTTTTGGGATCTTTCCTTATATCATATTTCACCATATATAACTTTCTTTTAAAAAAAAATGGTTGGCACTTTCAATTTCACATCTAACAAGAAAAAGTAGATGTTCTTGAGGAATGAGTAGATGGAGTTATGACTTACCTGGTTCACAGCAGGTGGAATTTTTGCATGACTAAGTAGGTCAGCTAGCTTCCTGCATGTGAAGTTGCTAACTCCGATAGATTTAGCTAAACCAAGACTTTGACATTTCTCCATTGCTTCCCACACAGTTGGCATGTCCAAGGGAATCATGTCCTCGCTGGTGAATATTATTTGTTTGTCACCTTTTAATCTAACAGGGAAGTGGATAAGATACAGATCGATGTACTCCAAACCCAAAGTCCTACAAAATCATTTAAAAGACAGTGACATTATAATCCAATCATTCATGATAGACTTCTCTTTTTCTTCTTTACCAACACTTATGATTACTAATTTTTTTGTGTCAGAAATAATTGTCTCTTTGATCAAGAAGAATTAATTATTGAGATGGTTTTTCTACCTTTTCTTTTTCTTGACAATCCTCTTATATTTGTTAGGGTGTTGTTCTTAAGAATCCTAAGGATAAAAGAGAACCATCATGCTAAACGATCAAGAGACAGACTTAACATTGTTTTGGACAAAAGCATACTCCTCTTATGATCTCTCACCATCAGCCACTAGATTTTTACTGCTGGAAAAACCAGAATTATTCTGTCAACGTTTCATCAAGATGTAGCTACGAAAATATGATCTTTTTATTTCTGAAAAAATAGCCTTTGTGTTAAGTAGCCGGGATCTGCTTTATCTATATAATATTCAGCCACCTATGTAATCTGTGTACTATTGTTTAAAGTTTATTAATGTGTAATTCCACATTCGTAACCTTTAACCATGATCAATATGTCATGTTATTCATTTAAACTTAGATTGGGCTGCCCATATTCTTCTGTTAAATTCCATGATAAACCCGAGCTGACACCCAAAACAGAGATACATATAAGTATATATACTCATTCCTTGAAAGTTCTGATCATATGAATATATTTTTCGTTCATGCATCAAATGCTTTATATGTATACCTGAGAGACTCTTGCAGTGCAGGGACAACGCGGTCCGCGTGCATGTCGGTGCACCACAGTTTGGTGGTGACGAAGAGCTCGTCGCGGCTCCTGATGAGCCCTCTTTCCAGGGCAGTCGCTATGGCCTGGCCAACAGCCCGCTCCGACCCGTAGATGCTGGCGGTGTCGAAGTGGCGGTAGCCGAGCTCGATGGCGTCAATCACCGCCGACGTCATGATCTCGTCGGGCGGCACCGGGTATGTGGCCGTCCCCATGCCGAGAACCGGCATCCTCCTCCCTGAACTCAGCACAACCTGCTGCATTACCGCCATCTTCTGCCGCTTGCCGGAGAGGGGCGGGGAGAGAAGCAAAACTAGTCGTTCTCGTCGTTAGATGCAGATCTGGTAAAACATCGATACACCGAAGCAACAATTATACAAATCCTCATTGGATAATATAATTATACAATGTTTATTTTTTAAAAAAATATTATTATTATTTTAAGTTCATTAATGGTGAAACAGTATGGAGGAAGGATGAATGACGCGTTCAAAACCACTAGAAGGTCGTCCGGGGATTTTTTTCTTCAACGGCGGTATTTTTATATATTTTCATGCAAGATGCATTTGTTTTTTCCAAATACATTTTCCAACTATCTCTCTTAAATATCAACTTGTTCTCGTATAGTGCCAGTCCTTGTCGGATTCTTCTAGCCGCCTACTGTGACAGTGTCGGCGCGCATTCTTCCTCGCTCTTGAGGTAACATTTCAATTAAAAGTTTTATTCGTGGATATAGCTCAATAATTCTTAATAGTTTAAAAATATAAATTTCATCAAGCAGTTTATACTAAATTTTATAAGAATCAGAGTGAAAATTTAAAATTTATTGAAATTAAAATTAGAATTTAAATTCTTGATAATTATCTCGATTAATGTATGCTTAGTAACCTGAAAAAGACGAACTTAAATTCATGTACTTTTTTTTCGCCATACTTTAAGTCGGTTGTCCTTTCTCTAAGTTTGTGCCTCTTAGACCACACTTGGCTTTCCCATGGATTATTCGGCATTGATGATAAGCTACTCCCTCCCATAGGTGTATCCTTATATTCTGGATATGCTGTGTTAAAATCCATCAATCAGGGATAGGTCTACAGGGATGCGATTCATTCACACTAACCTCTACTTGAATAAATTATATAAAAATGTATTAAAAAACCTTTTATTTGTATGACTTTCTGACAACCCTTTGAATCATTCGTTCAAAACGGTTCCCAAAAACATGAAGCTTTATTCACCTATGAAATTTAATATGACCTCACGTATTCCCACGACGACATATCACAAAATAAAAAATAAAGTGGTTTGATCTTGCGAATCACAAAAAAATGTATTTTAATGTCATCAACGTAATTTGTCGCTCGTTGGAATTCCTATGCTTAATTTAATCCACTAAGCTTTTGTTTTGTTCAGTCATGCATGTAATTTCTAATGCGGACGGCATTAAAATATTTGCATTTTCTCCTCTTGTTGAGAGTGGTCTCCAGTCGTAGTCTCCACGGAGTTGGCATTACAATATTTCTAATGCGGAGTCGGAGTAGTGCTTGCACGTACCGTGACTTTGATATCGCTTTCTTTTCTCATGTGTTGTATTTCTTTTAAACCTTAACCCACAGAGTCGTCTCCTCCTCCCACTTCAGCTATCCATCTCTATTTCGATTATAGTTGCAAGTAGTAACCGTATGTGCTGATGTTCAATTGGCTATATTTACATTCAGTTTGGGGTATATTTCGTCCATCATTATTGGTTTATCTTCTTTACCTGACCAGATCGTATTAACCTGAATTCATGTGCCATCATCCGAATTAAAAACTTGCGATCTGACTTGGTAGGAAATCCAAGACGCCGGCACATGACCGAGGAGGTTTTGAATCGTATCCAACGACAATCCCTACAATCTTAGTCAATACTCCAACTATGCCAATGATTTTTATTGGACTCTCGTGGGATTCCTTTCGATCTATGATTTGAAACCCAAACAGCCAAGAAGTCAGCCAACTCACTCAATCTCTCTCAACATTGAATTTGGTGATGCACATTGATATTGTAGTTAGCAGCATAAGCTTACCTGTTTCTACATTTTCCATTGCCCATAGCATGCTCAAAAGATGTTGTCACATAGCATCGATCGAGCACAAATCAGTGCCGCACAGCTATCTGAAATACTTTTTATGGCACAATCCACTTTCAGTAAGACAAATTCCAAATATTAAAAATTAAATTTTAGCTAATCCTAATTAGATTTCATCTTAATCTATTATCTCCAGTCTCTTTTTCTTAGAAGGATAACAAATGAGATCATGGATATACATTGACTGTTTTTAATTTTTATTGATCGCTGTATAGATAATGAAAGTGAACTATTGATATCATTTGATTCATGTTAATTTTTATATGGGTTTAAATTAATTTTAGATAGATTTTTAAAATACCATGACATTGGAAGCGGTTGCCAAATCTCAGCCGGAAGTTTCTTTTATAAACTTTTAGGTCAAACCCTTTTCATTCAATGATATAATATCGATTTTAGGTCATTTTGAGCACGGTAATGAGAATTTACAATGTCATTCATATTGGAGAGAATGATGTGTTGGATATAATTTTTAAGCCTTAAAAATTTCTGAAAAATATATTTTTGGTGGTTACATAATGAAAGTATAGGTTTACAATAGTTTATATTTTCAAATAGGCTGTATTGGAGTTAGATCAGGCTTAATTTAGTTTATATGTATTTATGGTTTTTGTACATATCTATTCTTTCAGAGTTTGGAAATAGCCTATTCACAACAACAATGGATCATTTCTCATTTCTCGCTACGCTTAGCATCTAGTTTAAGTCAAGACTAATATAAATTATAAGATATTCTTAGTGTTTGTATCAGCAACTGATGAACACAAAATAAAATATACTCATTTGGGAGCTTGGACATCAATTGTGGACAAAATTGATCTCTTCATATCCCTTAAAAGTTGATAAATTTGTTATTTATCTATCATGTACACCTACTATTTAACTTGAAATTAACGAGTGCAGGGAAATTTTGATGCGCAAGACTTGATGATGCTATTGATGCTTTCTTTTGGGAACGGAACACGGTTCAACACAACCCGTGATGACCGAGTGAATGGACAAATTGGTGAGCAGTGTAAGATATGTTAACAAACTTGCATAGCCGTGGCCGACGTGTCATGGCTGGGTTCGATTATCATGTCCAGGATTGTACCGACGATTAAGCCTTCGTCGGATCGGGTTGAGCTCGGGGTTGACTCCGGATGTGACTCTTGGGTGCGCTATCTACTTTGTCATTGCTAGACTCCTGCACACTGGCCTAGGTCGGGAGGAGGGGTTTCTCGACTTTGTTCCTCTGAAGATTAAGTCAGTATCGAGTGAAGTTTCTGTAGAAGGATCCTCTTGGTGATTGCTGATCGATTTGTGTGAAACAGCATCGCACGATGTCGTCCCAAGCTTTTCGGAGTGACCTTCGACGGTTTGGCGCTGTTAGTAAACAAAAGTACCGTGGCTGATGAGTCAGCACGGTTAAGCCCATGTGCCGACGTTGGGAACTTCTGGTGGAATATGTGGATTGATGGGGTGGCTGCACCCCTCGAGCGCCTCTAGCAAGGGTTGAGGCGGTGGGATCGGGCGAGTCTTCGGAAGCGGCTGGGGGTTAGCACTCCAAAGCCAACCGACCCGAGAGCCGCTTATGGCGAGATGCGTTCCCTCATCCCCTGGACAGTTGGCGATCTTCCTTGCAGCATGGGCACCTCCTTGAGATGGGAGATGCGAGCTGGCGCTGGTCAAGGTCCTAACCACTGGACTGCCCTCTTCTGCATATTAGATGGTGACTTTGGGGCGATGACACTTGCAACTTGGTAGCGATTGCCTCCCTACAAAATGGCCTTCGTCGGGTGAGTCCTGACTTTGGCCCCTCTAATGAGCAAGTTAGATCGGTTCCGATTCCCCCCCTTCCTTTCTTTCTTTCTTTTTTTTCTACTCTGGTTGGGATCGGCCTGGGTATTTATACCTGCATGCGAAAGTTAGTCGTGCCTTAGTTCAGCCTGGCCGCTGATCCTCGCGGGGGCGGGACAACCCCTTTGACGAGATGGTGTCTTTGGGGGTGCTTGAGTGGCATTAGGCAGCTCCGTCGCCAAAATAGATGGCACCGCCCCGGGCTCTTGGGGTGGTCAGGTCGCACAGTTATACAGTTGAAACTTGACGTGGCGTGCACCCCATGGTTTTGGTGGCGTGTGGCATTGCGATCGTGACGTGGTTGATGTTTGTTGGTGATTCACCTAGGGCCAAAACATGCCCTATCAGGCGCTTTGCCATGTGGCTTCGGACGGTGCGGAAAGGGACGACCATCATCCCGAGTCTGAATTGTCATGCCCAACGTGACGCCCTATCTCAGTCCCAAGGCTCCATGTCCGATGTGATTGCTGACCACGTCCATAAGGGCGTTACCAAAATATGCCCTATCAAAATACTCAATGTTTCCTGTTTGGAAAACTATCATATGAGATAGGGAAACACAATCGCAAGTTAGGGTTGCTTTGATGATCGACGAGGAGTTATTCTACTTCGGGAATGCTTCGCTGATCGAGGAAGCAACCGATCAACTATCCACCGGTCTCTTCTCATCTCTTACCTCTGTCAGTCTTTTTCTTCTCTTCGTCTTCGTTTCTTGCATCCGGATTTATCTGCTATTGCTTTATGCTTAATCTCTTCGTTGTAGTTCTTATTCTTTGCTAACTTAGGTTTAACCATCCACTTGACAATGACTTAACTGCTACTTGCTTTAGAATTGCTAACAGTAGCTAGCAAGGAAACTGGAACTGTGCATATATCGTTCGAACCATAAGAAATTTGGCATGACATGCAACAACAGAAACCATATATGCCTATTGTAAAGGCAAACCAGTCTTCGAATTCCGTATTAAAACAGAGACTTATATGACATCTCTGGGAATGGCATGCATGATTCGCTATGTTTCATGGTTCTGTGCTGTGTTATCTACACATCACCATCCCAAAATTCAGCAAGAGACTTGTAGAGACCAGTGGGTGATATAAATGGCTCAGCCAGAAT